TGTTGGACAACATATATATCATGGATGGAAGAGAGGAACGTGATCTGTTTGGTTCAGGGATATGTTAAGGCTGGGGACGTCGAGGAGGCATTCGTGTTGAGATAGTGCCTATGAAGGACTTGGTGGTATTGGATGTGATAGTATCTGCTGCTTAGAATATTTTAGAAGCTATGCTAATTCGTGATGTTGTGACTTGGAATTCAATGGTCTTGGGTTCTGCAAAGCGGGGAATTTGGAAGCTGCAGAATTTTTTTTTTTACAGGATGCTAAAAAGAGCAGCCGCATAATGCTTTGGACGTGTACGAGTTCTTTAGAAATCAGGTATCAAGGCCATATTGGAACTTTATAATGGGTAACATACTAGCTTGTTCACAGTGGTTACCAGTTTGATAGATGTGTATGCAAATGGTGCGAGAAAAGAAAGAGCTTTGAAAGCTTTTAAGAATGGTTTATAAGAAAAAATTCTGCAAAATATTACTGCCTTTGCAAATCATGGACCGAGTCAAGATAGCATTTCTTTGTCTGTTGATGCAAGGGGAAAAAATTAAACTTGATATAGTTGCTTTCTAGTGGTTTTGACTGCTTGTAACATTGGGGGCATTGTGAACGAGGGAGGAGGTTTTTCAAGCAAATGACCGATGATCATGGAATTCAATCAGTGGAAAAGTCTATGCCGGTGTTGTTGATGACCTTCTTAGTCATGCTAGGTGCCTTGAATAAGCATATAACCTTGTTAGTAGCGTAGCAGTCATGCTGGCTTCATCACAAGATTCAATTGGCTGAAATTTGAGGAGCTGCGCTATTCAAGATCGAGCCTGATAATTCTGGCAATCTTGTTCTTTTGTCTGATATCCATGCAGTTGCTGGAAGATCAGATCATGTTGCTAAATTGAGATCAATGATCTGGGAGAAACAAATTAGAAAGCATAGAAGTTCCAGCCGATTGAGTTGGGAAGTGTTGGCCATGAAGCTTCATGAGAGATACTTCTCAGCATTTATTATATCTTAGACTCACTCAAAGATATGAAGGTTTGGATCTATTATGGAAATTCAAAAGAGAAGTATTTCCTCCCTGCACCACGTGTCCCTCTAATATGTGCTCCTGCAGCATTTTGAAATATGGATGATCAGAATGAAGTGATATAGAGACAACAATGCAAATTTTCCAGCAGAGTACTGCTCAGATTCATATGCACAGATCCTCCTATAAAACCAGGTTATCTAAAATCATCCTGCTGGTAAAACTATAAGCCCTTTATACTTTTCAAAAAAAAAAAAAAAACGTAAGAATGACCTTTCATTTGATATTGTAGATCAATATAAAAGTGGCAAGTAGCTCATGAACTGGACTTAACTTTTACCTTTTCCCTTGCTTAGGTGGTTTAGTCCGTTCAAGGATTAAGTCCCAAGAAATCTCACTTCGACAAATTATTTATTTGGGAAAATCATCCTTTTTTCATTGATAATTTAAGTTGTTTTACATATTTGCTTTTAGATTTGTATTTCAAAAATTTGTTTATCGTGGGAAAGCTTGCAGTACTTTTGAGAAAGGAACCAGTTTCAGTACATATATCCTACGAATCCTCCAGAATTGATTTCAAAATGAAAGTGTTTTAGTAGATGAAATTGTTTTCTTCAATGGGCTGTAGTTTATACCTTTTGAGGAATGTGGTCCTGAAGTTGGGAAGGTGAAAGTAATGGCTAGAAGTTGGGTAGGTGAGAGGAACTGTTTTTAATGCGTTATCTAGCCAGATTGAATGTTAGCATTACAAGGATATCAACTGAGCAACGATCTGTAAGTGGGAATGGATATTTCCTTTTCTTTTGGTTCCATCTTGGCCGAAAAACACTGGAAATTGCCACCAGCTAATAGCACTAGGGCCTGATATCTTATTAAGAACAAATTACTGATGTAAAAAGGGAAACATCAAGATGGAAGTATTAATGTGGCTAGATGCTTACGTCCCCTGAAATGAAACTGGGCCTAGAGGAGCCTTGCTATTTTTCAATGTGATTTGGCTTGGATGTACTTGTTTGTTTAAAGTTAAGCAGAAGCTCAATGAGAAAAGTGAAGAGAATAATAAAAACCAGGTATCGTTTTTGAATGCGAAGCAAAATTATAGTTCGATTATGACTTCCACCACTGCTTTTAAAGCAGTGCAGATCGTGTGCTCTCTAAGATAATAATAACATGATCCCTTGTCATGCTAGTAATGATCTTTACTTTGTCTTGAGATCAAGCCTAGTTATGTGGTAGCGGTTCTGGATTTGTGTTCCATAGCACTTTTGAATTCTCTCTTTTGTGCCACTAGCTTTGTTGCCGAAGGCTTTTTTAGTGAAAGATGATGCTTGGCTATCAATTCCTTAGAGCTACCTGAAGTAGGCAGTAGTGTTGCAGCTGGTGAAAATAACATCATCATCAGAGTACTTAACGAGAAATGTAGCTTATTGGCAATCAACAATATTGTTATGCTGAGAATTGTTTGAGCAACGCAAGCTATAGAACACGTCAATCAGATCTTCATTTTCTTTTTGGAACATAGGAGCTGTCTCTTGTTCAAGTACTCAGTGTCCAAGATGAGGAATGTTTTTTCTAGCATTGAATCTTCTTGATTGTTAATTGATGCAAGCTGGACCATAATATCAAGTTATCTTCCATGATCTTTGATTACAACATCAGACTGTTTTTTCTGGTTTGCTGACAATTGTATGAAACAAGCATCACTAGAATTGTGCCAGGTCTTTTTTTTTGGATGCCTTAGGAGCTATTATATATCGAGTCCACACTAGACGAGGAGAGCTAAGATGATGATGTTGATATTTAGTGATGGATGGTGTAGATATGGGAGAAGTTGCCTTTGCAATAGTTTTGGCAACAAGTTGCCTTGCAAATCTTATATTCTAAGACAAGTTCAACGAACCTGTACATTTTAAATCTTTTGGAATGCTGTATTTTTTAATGGAAAGTGAATAGTTGAAAAAATAAAGAAATAAAAACATAAATGTGTTGCATGGAAGACATAAATATATGATGAATTTATTGATTTCTTAATCTTATGAACCAGAAAATTGAAAAGACGCGGTTGCTTTATGGCATGTGGTTCCCAACTAATCACCTTTTTCCTAAAGCATATTAGACAAAACAATCTTAACTAAGTTCCAAAAATTCTCTCACTGCTCGATAAGATTTTCTTAACCAAACCATGTTAGTGAGATAACACAACTAACCATTTTTATAACCTGTATAGTGATTTCAAGGTTTCAGGTAGTCATGTCCTCTAAAGTAATTATCAGAAATGCACTGTAAATCAATAGTAATTACACAGAAAATTGCCTTCTGAACAAATATTGGATGCCTTCTGAATACCTCTGTGTGTAGACAGAATGATGTTCCTACAAGAGCAACATTTTCACTTCTGTAAGATTTGCTCCGATTCTCTGGATTAATTACACATTGAATTTAGAAGATAGCTATCTTGAATAGGAATCTAATTATGTAGTAACTGCTTAATTTACCAGACAAGCTACAGTTTCCTGCTACTCCTGACTTCTGACTAGTTACCTGTAAAACACACACGGAGTATCTAATCATGTGTCATGTGCATTTTTATGTTCTTCACTATTCCCGACATGACTTACTTTCGTTGTCAACTAGCTATCCTGAAGAACATTGATAAGGGTTAAAGATGAGCATCTTTATTAGCTGAAAATTGATACCTCTGAAGCACTTTATGCTTTTCTTTTACTTTCTTGTTGTAGGAACACCTTGTTCCTCTTAGGTTTCACACACATCCAGAAATCATATTCCTCTTAAGGACTCTGGTGCAGCTCTGATTGCCATGTAGTCTTTGCTGATGAGTACTTATGACCACACAACATGAATGTGAAGTTACCTAATATTTTCCTTGCATTCTATTCCCATGTCTTCTCTATATCGAGCAGACCTTTTCTTTTGATGTTAGCTGGATTACATCGTCGAATGCCTTTTGGACTTCTCCAGTGGCAGTTAAGTTTACGGTTGTGTTAATTTGGATTGTTAATAAACTGAGGGGATAGCTTATTTCTCCTGGTACTTCAGCTATTTGAAATCTACCTTCGATCAATTTCCATCTTGATGCTTATGCAGATGAAAATGACTGTTTCTTTCCTTTTCTCTTTTTTCCTTTGTCTCTTTCCCTGCTTTGAAAATCAACCACAGCCTTGAACAGACTTGATCTGATCCTTCACATAACTGGTCAAAAAGATTTTAACAGAGTTGGGGGGGGGGCAAAGGAGGACCTGCCATCTTAAGGTCCTTCACAAAACTGGTAAAAAAGATTTTAAAAGAGTTGGGGGGGGGGCAAAGGAGGACCTGCCATCTTAAGGTTGAGATTCCTTTGTTTCTTCTTCCTTAATCTTTGCATTATTTGCTTGTGTTCTTTATTTTTTTTAAGTGAAAAATCTTTATTTGGCAACTGCTCTCTCTTGCTAAATCGAGATTCCATGAACCACCATCATTTTCTTTTACCAAAATATTCTTATTGATTGCATTGAATCTTTATGCTGTCTTTCAAATAAACAAAATTTGGATCAGATTTTGGGATTGTTTTATATCCAACACAACACTCCGGATAGGAGGAAGGATCCATGTCTATCCCCAACTTCCTTTCAATCCACATCGGAAAAATTTTGCTTTTTCTACGGGGAGTCATCAAAGGAGGAATAGGCATACGCTGGTTCGATAAGCCAAGGAAAAACAACCACCGCTTGGTTTTGACACGCAAGCGACCCGCCCTTTTACTAGGTTGGGCGAGCATGTATGCTCCTACTCCCAACAAGGTGCTGGTGGGGGCGGGTGTTGGACAAGGAATAATTATGGAAGGCCTACCCTTTAAAGTATAAAAAGATCATGCTAGACATTAACTGAACATCCAAATCTGACTGAAAGGTGACATATTTCTCGTGGGTATCGAGAACACAGAACCGGATGCTGAATCAAAAAGTCATTCATACTGACTAGAGAACACAGAACCGGATCAATATGAAAATATAGTCAGAATCAATTACAGGATTTGTTAGAACTTGGCAAAAACACACTTTTATAATTAGCTTATAGTGGTGTATGGAGAACACTACATGGCAAAACATGGCCGACCCTGTCTTTCCATATGTTTCGTTCTGTTTTTATTTACATAATTGCTTGCACTTGGAGCAATATTATCTTCCTGTATGCAGTTTTGGTTTTGATGAGATTACAAGGACCAACAAAATGACACCTCCACCATAAGTGTCCAAACCACCAAATATCTCGCTGCCACACTCTAGGATAGAAACCGTAACTTCACTCTGGTTTTTCCTGTTTCCTGTCTAAAACTTCCAGTCCAATTATGGAAAACTCTGCAAGAGAGAGACGCAGATTCAGATTTGAGTTTTCTTCTAGGAGAACCCAAGCTGAAAGACTTTCTCAAGGGATGAATCTTCTCTTCGCCCTGCTCCTATGGGTTAATATGGCTTGTGGGTTTTTCATGCACCACAACCCAAGCCTATTGCTTCCGATCCTTTCATGATTCTCAGTTTCTTGCAGGAAGACAGGAACATACTGCAAATGAAAATGAACTGTTAGAATTTATTACATAATATATAGAAATAGATCCAAATGATCTTAGAGAGAGAGGGGGGCAGGCAGATTGGCAGAACTTACTCCCAAGGAACATCTCCAACTAGCATCCAGTCACCATCTTTGTCCTCATAAGTAGGTGCATATTCTGACCCTTTGTAGCCTTCCCTCTCAGAGTACTCACCTGGCATAGTTACAAATATCATCATCAGAACCACAATAATACTAATCAAACATAGATAAACACCATGCAGTATTTACAAAGAACAACATAAAGCACATGCATGTTCATCAAAATAGTCTTACCTATGGTGAGCTTGAGCATGTTCTCCAAAGCCTTTAAGAATTCAGGATATCCCTTGTAAACCTTAAGGTCAATCTTTCTAAGGTATGGTGCTCCGTCCACGCTTACTTTAACATACATCCCAGCTGCAGCCTCGTCCTCAGCCTTCTTGGGCTGGAAGCTATTTTTCCTGTAGGATCGGATTGGTGGCCAGCCGACTATTTGTACCCTGCATGTCGCATGCATATCAAATGAATAAGTACTGCAATAAATCATAGGAAATTAAAGGGTGAATCTATCTACTAAAAACGAAAGACCCTGAGCCAAAAAAGAACAAGGGAAAAGAAAATTTCTGACTTACTTCGGAGCAGAGGCAGTTTCTTGGTCATCATGTTGAGCATCAGATTTACCATTTGCTCCACCCTCCTCTCTGGTCTCTGGAAATGGTCGTTTGTTGTTTCTAGCACCAGAATCTCCTTTCTCATTGGTACAACCCGTGCCTGGCAAACCCAGTCTAAGCTCAGTTGCCTTGAGGTTTAGATCATTCTCATATGCAACACCACCTTCCATGTTTTCCAACAATCTTTGTTCACGCGCAGGATCTGTAAAGAGATGATGCACACGAGACTTGAAGATCGTTCTTGTTTCCTTTGATATGTAGATTCTTGAGAGAAAGAATAGCTAGTATTCTCTCAGCGCGGGGATGTGTGAATGGAAACAAGTGTATTTTATATATAATTTTATATATAAAAAGAAGAGGTTGAGAAAAATCCCTGCTGTTCTCTTCAAATGCATGAATTATGGATGAAGGCAAGCTAAGCCTGTCGGTAGCAATAGCAGCACCTTTGAGGCCCCTTGTCCTTGCATCCAGGGACAATAGGGGGACAAGCACAGCCGCCCATATGGAAGACTTTCGAGAGCTTTAATCGGGGACGGTCAAGATGAGTTTTGGGGGATTGTGGGAGGGAAATCAGGAAGTTCCTTAAGAGGAAAGTATGAGGAAACATCTCCATGTGGGCGACGGGGTCCGCATGGCTAGGTCAGTATGGTCATTGCCAGGCCATGTGGGACTCGAATTTGGCCATTGAGTTTTGAATTCGGTTGAGTGGGTTGTAGCATGACATGTGGGATATCATGTGGACATGGCCAGCCATCCCCTTATTAATGCCTAATATTATTTTTTATATATATATTAATTGATTTGATTGTTCTATGCCATTAAGTAGAAGAGCACAAGAACCTTAACTAAATGAATTCAATCTTCTTGACTATCAATTTAATTATCTCAAGGTCGAAAGCTGCTCGTTCATTTAATATATAAACCTTTCACATTATCCTGATGATGTTTAGTGTGCCCGAAATTGTAAGATCATACCATACATCGATGTAATTATTAGTTAATCTTTTCAGAACGAACAGCCTAATCATCATTGATTTCTTGGGATGTTTTATTCTTCAAATGCAGTAGTTAAGCTTTCTTTGCTTGTCCTTGACGTTCTCTTTAATGTTTCCCATTATGGGGTGTGCTTTCAAGGAGAATGGTTATCTTCTTCTAATGATGGATTTCCGAGAGGATGAAGAGTGATGGTGATTTTAGGCTATTTTAGAGGTATTGGTGAAGAAAATTATTTTTTTTCAATTAAATAATAAAAAATTTAATGAAATAGTATAGTTCATATTTTTCATGGTTTCCAAATCCAACATATAAAGAAGGAAGTCGTAAGATATTAAATAAATGTTGCAACCGAATTTATTTATGTTAGGAGAGAAAAAGAGAGGTTGAGATTTAATTTCACAATATGGTAAATTATTGTATTTTAAAATAAAATGTCACATTTTAACAAATTAAAACTATGCTATCTCGTTAAGTTTGTCAATCTATGCTGTTCTATAAACATTATTTTAATATACTTTAAAATACAATCTATTACATCAACAACAATCACCTTGTAAGAAGTGGAGATTGAAAGGGTGCAGCATAATGGCACCTTGTCCATTTGGGCTCGGAGGGGTGAACCCCACTCGGTCCCATGGTCTGACTCAGTGCATAGGATGCTCATTTCTAAGCTGTGCAACTCTGCAAATGATCAACATCAGGGTCCAGTCCTGCTGTTGCACCCCCCGTGCGCCTTGAAAAGTTGTCCAATAATTATCATCTTGATTTTTGTACACGCTCAACGAATAATATTTGATGAAACATCATGGAAGCCTCTTGCATCCATTTGAAACATTTTACTGTCTCCTTACCCGTCATTGTCGTCTTCATGTTATTTCACTGTTCCATGGAATTTGAAAAGCAAGTTTTCATGTTCGGGTTGCCCTTTTATTTTGAAGGGCTGTCGATCAGTAAATACGAGGCTGTGCATCGCAGCAGGTGTGTGTCGGCAAAGAAAACTCCAATTTGCTGCAGCACCTCTGTAAAATTTGCCTTTTGTTTTGACAGAGTATCGATAATAAATGCGTGTATCGAAGGAAATTAAAATTCAACATGTCCTCGCTTGAGGTTGTCGCCGGTGGATATGAAAGAGACTTATTTTTTTTAGCATTCAAGTTTGATTTTTTTATGTATATATATGTTATTTTTTTATGTTTTATTTATTTATTAAGCGTATAGGATACTTAATAAATTTAAAAATTAATCATGATGGATGTAAGTTGAACCAAATACTCCAAATTAAAAAAAAAAAATTCAACATCTTTGAAAAGAAAGCTGTAATGCTGTATGAAAAATGTAACCCTACAGAACAATATTTCTAATAGTAATTTTTTTAACTCTCAAATTTAATTTAATTTTTTAAAAATATTATAAAATCAATTTATTTATCAATTGAGTTAAAATTAAACACTATAATTAAATTCAATTACAATAAAAAATTGATTCCAAACAAAAATTAGTTTTAATTTTAGTTTTATAATAAAAATCAAGTAAATACTCCCTGCGTCCCAATTTTAATGTACCTTTTAACTTTTCAAATGTTGATATGACATATTTTTTAATAATTTTTTCTTTAATTTAATATAAGGTAAGAAATTAACAAAAATAATAGAACCTTTAATATTTCTATAACTTGGTTTCGAACTATTTTAATCGCTGGAACTAATTATAAAAAGTCGGTCAAAGTTAATATTTGATGGATGTTTGAAAATGATGGAGTGTGCTTTCCTCATTTAAAGGGGTAAAAAGGGATTCGACATAGCAGCAGAAAATAGAGGCCCTGTTTTCAATAGCCATAAACAAGCACCTTTATTTGTTCTTCGACATGAAAAGAAGTTTTCACCAGCAATCAATCCGAAAATCCACCCGTGGAATTCTAAAAGTAATGAAAGCAAAATCTCCATGGCTATTTCTTGCGCTGAAATGATCACTTCCAGCATCCAAGTTGTTGATTTAATTACCTACCATTATATATAAATGCTGTGAAGGCCAGGAGCTCGGAGAAGTTCGAGGTTGAGGTGATACCGTGTGAAACAAAATTGTTCACCATGTTGATTTGCCATGCGAGTTCTTGTGTGCTTCGATGATTTATGAATTTACTAGAACAACCAATGCATTCACCTTTACATATAAATCTTGTATTGGATTTGAAATAAGAGTGTGTTTGTCTAGGCTTCTGTTTATTTATTTATTGGGGGGTAGAATTCTCCACGGCACAAAATACAAGAGCAAAAATATGAAACTGTGTTTTTTGTTTTTAGTGATGTATGCCATTACTAAGAATAAAAGCAGATGTTTAAACACACTCTAAATAAGATGCAAATCTAGCTAGGTTAGAAATTTCAAGTCCAAGTTACATTTTTATCTACACGTTTTTCTAATTCAGAGCACATTCATGAATAAAAACTGTACTAGCTAAATTCAAAGCACATCCAAGTTTCCCAGCTATTATATGCACTCATATTTTGAAAGAAAAAAGAAGAAGATAGGGCACAGAAGGTTCCTTCCACATATATACTTAAGTTATTGTTGATGGACAGGTACTGCAATATGGTTGGAAATCTTGGATTAACTAGGTAAGCCCGGCTAACAATTAAAAGTTTTAATTATTTTCTCGAAGTAGGTATTTTAATTAAGTGCTTACAGCATCATGTAACCTCGGAACTGAGCGAAAGTATTCTTCTCTGATGTAACATCTAACCTTTTCAAACCTTGACAGTAAAAGTGTTTGAGCGGTATACTGTATTTGGGCATGCTGAAGTCGGATTACATTGATTAATTTTGGATAGCAACATCGATGTCATCCGTACAATGTTCGCTAAATTCTGTGGTGCAACACCGATGACCACAAATATATGAAAGCTGTGTGTTAGCTTCCACTAGCTAGTGGTACCCGATTGACCCAGTGCTGGCATTTGAACAATGAAGAAGAAGAGTAACTGGCTAGATAGCGATGCCTAACGAATAAATCCGAATTGAATCTATTTTGAAGTCTTTGATCCACAAAAATATTTTCCAGGTTGGATACGTGGATGATAAGACTGATCAACGGAATGGAAAAGAGTCGAGTTGGCATGACATGGCAGGTCGGCAAACTTTGATCGATTAATTGTGACATAGAAAGTTCGACAATGGTGGTGCACACGGATTCTGATTCATGTTTGGTTGTAAGAAAATAGTGATTGGTAGTGACAGGTCCTGAGATTTAGTGTAGGAGCATTGGAATTGTTTGGTCTGAGTTTGTTTTTTCCTTTCGAATCTATCCTTTACCCTTCAGCTTTATTACAAGTCACAGTCTGGGTCCCCGGCGGAGTTGCTTGGGACATAAAAATAATAATAATCAACGATGTCATGAAAAAATAATTGTCCTGAACTGAGTTTTGCTAGATGGGCTATCGAGGACCGGACAAGATGATTTCATCCGTACTGCTGTTATAAATCTGTTGCATACGCGAACCTGTGAAAACAGGTTCCTCCTTCGATAATGTGTTTTATAATGTGAGTAAAAAACCAAGGCTTGCTACAATATTGCTGAAAAATCTTTGGAAGAACCTGATAAATTTATGCGAATCAAATTAATCGTATTACAGGAACTCATTGCAGCAATTACTGGTTGTAATAAATCTCCTTATATCAACTAAGAACTGCATAAAAACTATATTTCTCAATCATTTAAAACAGAGTGCATGCTTCGGATCTGAACATACATTAGAATGAGACCTGGTGAACCTTCCTTGTACCTAAATGAAGAAATTAAATAAGTAAACTTAGTCTGTACAAGGACAACCAGCTGCATGTGTTTTAGATCTTTCTCCTATCAACGACATGTATGGGAACAAACAGCTGGTGTATTGTCCATATCCTCAACAATATTCCATCTTTTCAACAATATTCCATCTTTGTCGATCAAGCAAGCAAAACGTTTCCTAGTCCACGCAGAGGAGTCTCTTTTAGTTATCACAGATTCGTACTAGGAATAAGGCACATCAACTCTTCTACTTAAATACTCTCCAGAATATTGATTCCAATACGTACATGTAATGGTCACAATAAGACAGACACGGAGGCCAGGGTACAGAGCGGCATGGGCTGGATTGCTTGATTTCAGGCTCTCTTAACAGTCGGTGAGGTGCGGTGCTATTTTAAGTGAAGCTTAATCGGTCATGCTTGTCCTCATAAAACGAAACAGATTAGTAACTGAGCATAAATATGTATGGACACCAGCAAGCATCATAGGCTGTGCATGTTCTAAGTAAATGTCCAAGAATAATGAGCTGACCAAGCGAAAGCTTGAGGAGCTGGGAAGAA